TTAGTGGGCGCCTGGACATAAGANCAACATCTTTTTTGCTTCTCCCTTCCCATGGAGAAATTCAAAAGGAATTACCGAATTACTTGCCACAACTGTAAAGTCAATTACTTGATGCTGCTCCAAATCTCCTTTGAAGATTAGACATTGACAAAATTTTCATCCAGGCAATCTGTAAATTATATTAATGTTATAATTTTCTTACAGTATAACAATCAAAAGTAAATCAAAAGAAAGAACGATAAAAATAAAATGTTGTTAAATTCTTAATCCTTCCAATAAACTTCAAGGATTATGTGTGTAAATGCCTAATGTTGGGTGTGACAACGTGAAAAGAACTTGGAAGAAGTGAGAATCAAAAATCAGATAAATAAGTCGATTTATTAGTGCATAGTTATGACTCCATTTTAGCAGGATGACATATTTTTTTAATATGAAAAAATCGTGACATACCTGGTATTCTTCTACCAATTTCTGGCTAACCACAGTCCCTTGTTCTCCATTTTTATTTTCACTCATGGGAGGGCAGGAAAACAAAGAAAGGCTGTACTTTCAAATTCAAATGCAATTGAGGAAATCAAACATGAATAAAAATGTTACACAAACTATACTTTCAGATGATATATCAAGTAAAACAAATAAAGTTACAAAATAATATAGGATTAGAATTGATTTTCTAGAGAGCAAAATTCTTTCTATTGGAACAGTCCTTGAGCATTGGAACTATTTTTGAGTTATGGAAAAAAACTAATGCATAGACAGAAAATAGAAAGATTTAAAGGAAAGAAATAAATAGCAATAATGATGAGGTTTAAGTGAAGAAAAAATGTAACGGAAAAAAGTATAGAAACGTTTGAGGAAAAGAGATGAATAGTATATTAATGATGAAATAAATAAATAAATAAATAAGGAATACTTAATTGTTAGCAAATTTTAAATGCAAAAATAAGGAAAAATGTCTAAAATCTAAGAAAAAAGATAAATATGATCCTTGGCCAAAGAAACATGCCACATCATCTTTTATTTTCCCAGCTTTATTATATATATAGATGCATACTCGTATATTATTATGTACAGTAGAAAGGAAACCTAAAAAAAGATGATATACTAACATAAAAGATACTTACGTGTTCATTTCCACAAATTAATAAATACCAAAAAAGTAATAATTAATGCTTTCGCATAGTGGTCCCATTTTATTTCAGTTATATTGGTAATAATGATACTACTATTAATATGTTAAAGATTAGTATAATACTTGACTTTTTAGTTCTAAAAAATATTAAAGAAGGTAGTCCGTAAGGAATTTAGTTTATGTGTGTATGACCGCTGTTTCTTTTCTTTAGTTTTTCTATTATCATGTTGTTGTTATTGTTCTCTTTCCACGGCTTCTTTATTATTCCTTTCGGTCTAAAATAAGTAACTTTTTGTATGTTTTCACACAGATTAAGAAATCTACCTTCTAACATTAATTAGCAATGAAATTGATCATATTAACCTTTACTATCTCACATAAACACTCCTAACACATATTCCAGCACTATTTACTCCAAGGGTAATGTAGGAAAAAAATAATTAATTCATTCTTAAAATCTGGAAAAATCACTTATTTTAAACCACAAAAAGAAGGCCAAAAAATCACTTATTTTGGACCGGAGGGAGTACTGTATTTCCTTTTCACTACTGTCGAGGTTTTGCTTTTCTTGAGCCAAAGGTGTATTGAAAATAGTCCTTCTAATTTTACAAGGTAGGGGTAAAATTTGCGTATATACTATCCTCTTCAGATCTCATTTGTGCGATTATAGTGGGGTTGTTATTATTGTTGTTGTGTGTATGATTCTCTAGATAGACACTTTGTCTTTTGATTCCAAATTTGCAGATACTTAGGGACTAATGAGAGCGATATAATAAGCTGTAGGAAGAAACCTCCAACTAAAGGAAAAATTGAAGACAAAGGTGAATAAATGACAACGCATCCCTATCCAAGTAACCATCAATATGCACCTTTGTAATGATTTAAAGCTTCGGTCCCCCACCCCCCTCCCCCCC